ATAGGGGGAGAGAGAGAGAGAGAGAGAGAGAGAGAGAGAGAGAGAGAGAGAGAGAGAGAGAGAGAGAGAAGAGAGAGTTGGCAAGTACCTGTGAGCAATCCAAATGTCCTTTTCTTTCAGTGTCTTGGATGTCTGTGCTCCTGGGCACTTGGGCATTGCTCTGGATTTGTTTGAGCCTGTAGACATTTTCCCCTGCAGTTGCTATGTACCCACTTCTATTTCTGAGTGTGCATCTGTGTGTCTTTGTAAACCACTGTGACACCTTTCATGTTGTCTGTCCTCTTGTTTCTGTGTGTCCTGGACCTTGTGGGTTCACAGCCCAACTCCATGGGCTCTCCAAGCCCTGCTTAGTGACTCATTGTGTTTTCTTGTATGTTCCAGACTCCTCCAAGCCTCTCGTAGCTCCTAGATCTCCCAGATGTGCAGTCCCTGAGCTTTTTTGGCACAGAATGGACCGGGGCATGGAGACACAGGCAGGCTTTGTGTGGCCCTGGAACTCATATATTCTAATCCTCAGCTCCAACACTGGGCTCCTGGTTTGGCTCCTGACTTAAATTGCCAACCCCGTAAGGTAATGAGATGACTTGTTGGATAAAACACTTGCCACACAAGTATGAGGGCCAGAATTTAGATTCCCAGATCACATTTAAATGCCAGGCAGAACTGATGGCCCACCTGTAATCTTAGCTCTTGGGAGGCAGAAATACCTGATTGTTGGATTTGGGTAGCAAGCTGGTTATCTAGGCTAGCCACATGTGAGCTCTTGGTTCAGTGAGAGATCTTACCTCAGTAGATAAAGTGAAAAGGGATCGAGAACTCTATCTGGGCTCCACATGCATCTCCACACACCTGTGCCCCACCTCCACACACGCACACACACACACACACACACACACACACACAGGCAACAAAATCAACAACAAAATCAACAACCCCAGAATGAGCTACCAGAATGTCTGTGCTGGGTTTGTTTCCATGACAACATAGAAGCTGGCAGGCCTCTGGCTCATAAACAGGTCATAAAGCAGGGAGATAGGGAGCGGGTGTTGCTGGGCTTAGTAATGGGGTATTGCCAGGTGGTGCTGGGGTCCTAGAGGCCTGCTTTCTCTCTGGGGGAAACCATGCTTGTGCTGCCTCTGCTCATGTGTTGAATAGTCTTGGGAGAGTTCTTTTGTCTCTCTGAGTCTCGGTTTCCTTCTCCAAGAATGGGAACAGAAACAGTTCTGTAGTTCTGCCCCAGGTGTCATGCAGACAGGATTCAGGAATACCCATGATGAGGCCCACCCTCCAAACCCCCCCAGCAGGACTCAAGCCTGGTGTAATTTCTCAGGGGCTCTGTTGCCCTCATTGTCAAATAGCTCTGGAGAAATAGCAGTGTGTATAAAGATCCAGGCTGGGTTGAGTACTAGATGCAAACCTATCTTCACTTATAGGCTGTGTGACCTTGAATTGAAGTCTATGAGCCAAACTCAGCTCTGAAATGGATACGGAAATGTCATAGGTTTGTTTGTTTTGTTTTTGTGGGAAACAAGTCAGTTTGTAGTCTGCCCGATATGGTGCCTGCTCTGAGGTCTGGGTGAGCTCAATACGGTGCCTGCTCTGAGGTCTGGGTGAGGTTGTGTGTAGTCACAACAGTCACCTGCAACAGTGGTGCTTACTCTGTGCCAAGCCCTCACCTAAATAAAAGGCATTTATTTCACTCTTACAACTAATTGTTCCCTTTTTCAGATGAAGGCACTGTTAGGTCCAAAGCAGGCTCTCTAACTGGCAGAGAGGCTGACAAGGTCCTGAATGACAAACAGTCTAGGCTCAGCACAGGCTGGACTCTGACTGGGCAAACAAGAAGGATTGCTAGTAGATAAACAAAACCTAAACTCAGCATTCCTCAGGAACCTTGTCAATCGGGTTTCTGCTTGTCAGGAAAAGCCATCACTTCCCTTAGCCTCTTTCTATAGCCAACTGCCTCAGGAAGGGGATCCAGTTCCCAGTGAACTCAAACAAACCTCTAACAAATCAAAGTCCTGACTCTAGGATGCTGGCACCCAGTCTGTTCTGGATCATCCCCCTACCAGTCCCCTTAAAACTGACAAGGTTTCTCCCTGCTTTTTGACTTCTCTGTCTGCCCCACTCCCTTGAGACAGCCTAAGCAGTGTGGGAGGCCACAGAAGTCTGCTCCAAGCCAGATAGCACCTTTATTCTTTGGTAGATGTTAGCCAAGTTCATACTCATGACTGTCAGCAGAGTGGCCAGCCATCAGTGTTTGTGCCCTGGTCATCTCACAGGAGGCAGATGATGGGGATAAGTACAGACCAGACCTACATTTCTCGCATCAAGGATTCATTCATCTGGCCAGTCATTCCCTGGCTTAAAGCTTACTTCCCTCAATCTGTCCACTATCTTGGTCCACCCTGAACTTGTCTCACTTGTTGACACTCTTACCTGATGGCAGTCATATCAGCCTCCATCCAGCCTGCTCTCACACAAGGAGGAAACTTTCTCAAAAATGCAAAATAGATCAACTCACCCCTTGAACACTCTTACAGCTTCTGGGACATCCAGAATGAATGATCACATAACCAAGAGCCACCCAGGCCCACAGACACATATACACACAGACACACACACAAATATACACACACTCACGCGTACAATCATATGATCACCGCACACATGTAGAAACATGCATGGACAAGTGTCAATGCAAGATTACATGACCAAGCGTCACCCAGCTCTACAGCTACACACAGTACACACACACACACATACACACACACACACGCACACACAATATCATGTGATCACCACACACATACAGGAACATGAACATGCATGGGCAAGTATTAATGCATACACATTCCCATTTCTGTTGGCCTGAAGTGAAGCGTGCACAGAGCTTGATGTGCACGAGCCAAGGTGTGTGAGCAGAACTGAAGCATGTGTCTGCCTGAGAACTGGTGGGCAACTCACGACCTCACATCCCCGAGGACAGGATGGTGGATTCTTTGCAGGAGACATTGTTCACAGTGACTCCGATAATGCAGCAAAGGTTCTGCCAGCTGGAGGTGGACATGTACCACGATCAGGAACCAAACATTACTTTTCTTGGTGAAATTTCCTTGCCAGAGAGTGAGTATTTCAGACTTGCCATCACTATTAAGTTCTACTGTAAGAAACTAGAGTCTAGAAGGTGACAGCCAGTCATATGGTTGGCTGTATCCTGATGAAAGTTGACTTACCAGAACAAGAAGCCAGGCTGCAGGCCAAGTCTGCCAGCCCAGCAGGCTGGAGGATGGGAGCTGAATCACAGTGCCCATTTCTTATGACCTGCCTGAGCCTGAGTCTGGACCTCTGCTGGCCCAGTGAGGTGCACTTGATTCAGAAGTATCTTAACTTTGGCTGAAGACCACGTGGTTTTCTCTCAGGCCCTCTTTGTCCCCTTCTTTCTTCAGCATCTATCCCAGATGTCTACAGAAATCATGGCAATGATCTGAGCTGTGGAGAACCCTAGAAACATATGGGAAGACAGAGGACTGTGAACTTGGAGTCCGTATTCCTAGTCTACTGATCCAGGGTCATCTCGCAATCACCATGCCCTGAGATGAAATTCCGGTTCTGTTGGGGGTCCTCATCTATCAGCTGCAGACTGACTTCTCTTTCCTCTTACTGTGAGCGAGGGTCCTGACGCGTGCTTTGTGATCTCCTGTAGCCCTGTCTTCCTTTGTGACTAATCCCTCTATTAAACCCTAATCAAATTGCCTGACGCAGGGCTGGCTGCTCCTGCAGGGCCAGCTGCTCCTGCTGCTTTGAACCATAAGGTCCAGGTTAGAATTCTGATCAGGTCTCTTCCCCTGGTGAAATCACAGCACCTTGAAAAGCCCCTGGGTTTCTCTTTGTGGAGATTGGAGCAGAAACGACATCCAAAAGAGGACATCTTTCAACTGCAGTGCAAACCAGTGGGTTCAGGAACTAAGTCATTTTCTGTTAATTATTATGGTTCCCTCCCTGGAGCCTCACACAGTCCCCAGCATGTATATGTCTCAAAAAAAAAATCTGCGGCAATTACAAAGGAATAAATGAGCGTCAAAAAAGCTGTAAACAACGACCAGGGGGCTTATCCACTACATACACACACACACACACACACACACACACGCTTCACTTCAGCTGCATGAAGCAGCTTTTGTTTGAAAGTCCTCATCCCTGGCAAAGCAGGAGGGTGTGAATGTCTATATTTATTAAAACATATTTAGCTTCTATTTCTCTTTTCCACCCATCCAGTACAACCTTGAGAGGCAGCAAAGAATGATGGAAGTACTATTTAACCCAGGTTCAACTCCTAGCTCTGCTGCCTATGACTTTTTTGGTCCTCAGTTTTCTATTCAATAAACCAGGGGTAGTGATTTCTACTTTGTCAAGAGCCCAGGAGAGAAGTTTGAATAAGTACACTGAGGGTCATCCACAGAGACTGGGCACAGTCCCTGAGCTGAAGCTGGACCATTTGAAAAGATATTTTGCCTGGGACGTCAGTCCCTTGAAAGTCTCAGGAAGCCCCTGGCTGGTGGCCTGCACTTTTCCTCCAGTTGAACGGTGACATCAGACCAGCCGTTCCCAGCCTGTGGTGTGGGCAGGCAAGTCTCAAGTCCTCTGGTTGTCCCAGTTTCTGCAGACAACAGGCAACTGTGCCTGAACTGCAGCATCATCCCCAGGTTTCTGCAGCTGCCATGGGGCATTCAGGCCTGCTGGGATTAGTAACTGGATCATAGCTTGAGAGCCAAGGCCCTAAATATAGGGCTGCCTGTGCCTGCTGCAGAAGACCTTGGCACCAGCTGCTCCATCTTATGTCACAGACAGGGAAACTGAGGCCCAGAAAGGGAGATGGATTTTTCCACTGTTACTTGGTGAGCGAATAATGACCAGACCCAAATATATGACACCAAAGGCTCATTCATTTGCCCAGTCATTCTCTGGCTTGAAGCTTATTTTTCTCCATCTGTCCACTCTCCCTGGCCCACCCTGAGCTACATGTCCCAGTTGATGACACTCTTACCTGATCATCTTCCATCCAGTCTACTCTCATACGACAGTCAGGAGGAGACTTTCTTGAAAATGCAAATTAGATCATGTCATCCCTGGAATACTCTCTCTCACAGCTTCTGTGTCATCCAGAATGAATGTAAGATTATGCTGGGGTAATCTTTTTGTGCACTGTGTGAAGTTTGTCTTTGTATTATTCGAATGTTGGTTTCTGTACCGCCAGAGAGAGAGAGTGGAAGACTGGCCAGATGTTGGTATTGGTATTTGTATGGATCATCACCTGCCTTAGTATTTTGTAAATATACACCTTTCTCACCTTCTAATTAGTTTACTAAAGATCTAATGGCCGATAGCTGAGGCAGGAGATGATAGACGGGGCTTCTGGACAGAGAGAAGGTCTTTGGGAAAGAAGCAAGAGGTGGGGGATTCGCCAGCGTGACACGGAGGTGGAAGGGACAGGTGCCCGGGACTGAATGAGAAATAACGGGCCATGTGGCAGGATGTGAACTAGAATTAGTCGGGTTAGAGCTAGCTGGGAGATAACCTGCTATAGTGCCTAAGCTTTCATAAATAATAATAAAAGTCTCTGTGTCATTATTCAGGAGCTGGTGGGTCCAAAAAGTCTGGCAATAATTGGCATCCAACGTGAGGGTATGTATATCCAAGCTTAGGGCCTGAGAAACGTCTCCGGTGGAAAGTGTGGAAGATGTTTCCCTAGCAACAGAGCCATTCAGGAGACCATTGGAGAGGAGCCCCCAAACACAGCCGCCACAAATTCTCTCAAGCATGGCACAGCAGGTAAGCCCATTTGCGACTTGCTGGGTTTTTGAGCACCCATGGTGTAGAGGTGTCATCACCCCTTCCAGACTGCACAGCTCAGATGGTAGGCCGGGCTGTTGTGGGCCGGAATAAACAGAGGTCAGAGTTACTGGCTCAGTTGGTGGACCTTGGGAATGCTCAGCAGCCTAAGGACTGCTGCTGCTGCTGCTGCTGCTGCTGCTTGGGCAGGCAGACAATGGTTGCAGCCAGAGTTGGATGGAAGACAAAGCTGTGAACTGGCCATAAAGTGAGCGGAATAGTCCCCAGTGCACAGAAGCCTCAGTTTCTCTGGTTGGTTGCTGTGGGCACAGAGCGGTGGAATTGCCCCTTCTCTATGAGCAGGGCAACTGGGACTGAGGCAGTGGCCATCTTCCCTTGCTAAGTGGAGCTGCAAAAGGAGTGACTGCAGGCAGCCGAAGCTAGTTTCAGGAGTGACTGAGAAACCGTAGTCCTGAGCACAGATGAGCCTCTGACGGGCCGATATATGTTTTGAATCGTGCTTAGGTGCTGAAGAAAAACAAACTGGGTGTAGACAGTCATAGAAAGAAGCATGTAATTTAAAAATGATAAATGAAGTCTCCAAAGGAAAGGGAGAGTTAGAGAGATTAAAAAGAAAATATTGTGTGTTTTAAAAAAAACCGGGAAATACAATGGCAGAGGGCACTTGGACCCCATATAATTTTGTTTCAGTTATCAGCATAAAATAATTATATTTTCTGTAATACTTGCAATTTTATATATCCTCTTTAAGAAAAATCAAAATAAAACAAACTTAGATAAAGAGAGGAGAGGACTGAGGAATTAAATGTTAGGTTACAAGAGATAGACAATCCTTTGAATCAAAATAAAGAAGCTTTAGAGGAATCAAATCTAAACTCTGCAGCGCCACTTTGTGACAAGATTGCAGAATGGCAACCCATAGAGATGCTGTATGCTGAGTAAATACAGATTCTGTTTCATGATGCCACCTTAGAGCAATGTCATAAACAGCTTATGTGTTTCATTTTGTAGAATTTGGAAAATTAGAGTATATATGTACATTGATACATCATACAATTGATACCTATTTAAAATCCCAAAGGGCTTCTGCCTTAAATTCTGGAAAGGCTGAGTCTGAGATTGCACATTTATTAGAGGTGGGAGCTATCTTGGAGATGCCTTTGCAGATTGAAGCTAGAGGTGCCCCAGCATATTATCCAATAGAACACAACAATGTTTTAGACATTATGACATAAAACATGCTACAGATATATCTTATAATCCTACAGGTCAAACAATCATATATAGGTCTAACTACACTTTAAAGAAAATGCTCATAAAACAGAAGGAGGATGTGGGATCTCCCAGAAATCGAATAAATAATGCCTTATTGACTTTAAATTTTTTAAATGTCAACAAGACAGGTAGCACAGATGCTGAAAAACATTAGATGTTAGACTGCGAAATTAAATCAGCCTATGTATGTGATAACTTTAAAGTGAAGGTCAGGAAATATGTTGAGTTGGAGAAGAGAATTTGTCTTTATTTTCACAGGAAATGAAAATCTATGGGTTCCTTCAAATTTAATAAAGATTAGCTTGACCATTTGGCTGCAGGCACAGAGAAATAGACCAAGAAGAACAACAAAGCAGGTGCCGTGAACGCTGAGGCATCTTCATGGGGTCAACTCTGAGATTGGATGAGACATGAATGTCTCTGCAGTAGCCCATGAATCTTGTTAGCCTCAGAATACCCATGACTTAATATTACACGTCACAGTTTCATACGGCATGGATGGAGATTTATATTATACTTTTCTTATATGGTCCAAATAGACTTATAAAGTCTGGTGTCTTTCACCTCCTCAAACGTAGAGCAGAGAATCATCATTAGCTGATTGTACATACTGCACATTCCATACCCATAGCAATGCAAAAGTGTATATTACCTTTAAAAGTTTATGTGCCTTCAGAGCAAAAGGACCAGACACCAACGAAGACAAGACAAGTAGCCAAGGTGATCCAGCCTCACAGACTGCCTTAATTTCTATTTCCTCGAAACGTGCATTCAAGACAACCTCAAAGTGGCCAGCTCAATTGCCCCAGCCTCACAAACTATTCCAGTCAAGACTTCAGTTAAGCCCTGCCCCTTTCCATCCTACAGAGACTGGACATCAAATAGTACAGCTAGCTCTCCCAGGATTTGTCCAATATCCCATTTTTTTTAGGGTCCCCAAAAGATGGTGTCACTTCCAGATAACAGGAAGAAATTCTATGATTATGATGTCCCCATTCCCAAGAGGTGGGGTGGGTGGGTTTTGGTCATTCGATGGGTGATGGGATGAACGTTTGTCATCGTTTGAGGGGGGGATCAGTCACAGGTTGTTATTGATCGTGGTTAGGGAGGAAACAAAGTAAAGGAGATCAGATTCAGGGATCTCTTCCTCTCTTTCTCCTCTCTTTCTCTTCTACCTAGTGTTAGGAGGAAATGGGGAGAGAGGATGAAAAGAAAAAGGGGGTGCTATAGGGATAATAGGAAAGGGTAGACTGTTAAATCTACTTTTCTACTAAAAAGCAATTGCAAGTCTCAAATATCTTATTTGATAGGTTATTATATGTTGATAGCAATTTGAGGTTATGCTTTTGTTGTAACATACTGTAGGTATGTTTCCACTCTTGTTTAAGGCACTGTACATATGCAGCTCATTTTAAAATGTAATGTAAAGTTCTATCCTTATGAAAGCTACTCTTGCAAACTATTTAGGATAATTAAGACATGCAAGTCAGTAATTAGTCACCTATAATAGTAAAACTTGTAGTCTTGTTAGGTATTAGTTTAGTTAATTACAGAAACAAGCTTTATTTAGCCTCCTGTCTATGTTTTTTTTAAATTAAACAGAGAGTAAATAGCTAGAAACAAATAACATCTGTCTATTTAGACACACTTTAGATAGAAAGATGGTCTTCAAACACTTCAGAGATCTACAGAATACGACATTTAAGATTTTTAAAAAATAAGATTTTCTGACCATGAGACCCGTCAGCTCCTGGCAGCACAGCAATTTTATTTCAAAGACATTCATGGGCACCATGAAACTTCCATAAGGAGCTCACTTCAAATGTGGCAAAAAAAACTATCCTTGTCTTGATTGCTGACAGCATGCTGTCCAAACTAGACAAGCAGGACACTGGGAAGTCGATTGACCAACTTTGCTAAGACAAGGTAGGCCAGTCAGTCCTCCATAATTCTTATTTCACAGATGAGTCTGTCAGATCCTCTGGACCTGTAGGCCAACAATGGATGTCTCGGCGTTACAGAGGAGTCTTGGGTGACTGTCCAGGCAGCCAGCAGTCTCTGTCATTTCTATAGTTTTGGAAGCTGCTTGCTCTGTACTTCCTGTTTACTTGGGTAATATTTACCCTTCACAGACCTCTGCTGGGGTTGGAGACTAGATGGTTATAGTCTCAAAGAGAAGCTTAAGTAGTTTAGGATTTAAGAAAATGTTGTAAGGTCTAAAATAATATTTTTAGGTTGATAAATGCAAATTATGATAAAATTTGATTTCAGTACAGAACTTTGAAATTACCAAGATAGGATAAATAGTGGAATTCTTTCTCCAAGGTTGCCAAATACAAATGGACTGGACATTGTGAATGTAATTCTTACCTGGTAGTTCTCATAATTGTTCTTATCGTATATAATTGATTGATGTTAGAGAAAAAGTCATTTATTGGACTAAAAAGGAGAGATATTGGGGTAATCTTTTGTGCACCGTGTAAAGGATGTCTTTGAATTACTCACATGTTGATTTTTGTACCAGGAGAGGGTTGAGTACTGGCTGGACTTTGGTATTGTTATTTTTATGGATCATCACCTGCTTTAGTATTTTGTAAACATACACCTCCCCCATCTTCTGATTGATTTAACAAAGATCTGACAGTCAATAGCTGAGGCAGGAGAGGAAAGGCAAGACTTCTTGACAGAGAGAAAGAATTGGAGGAAAGAATTGAGAGACAGGGGATTCTCCAGCATTACTTGGAGGTGGACAGATGGACCAGAGCAGAGC